GCTGGGTCCTGAGAGCGGGCAGGAAAGGACAAGGCGCCCGCTTCCCAGGGAGAGGAGAGGAGCCTCAGGTAACAGAGGAGGGCCGGAGTGGCCAGAGCCCCCAGGTGGCATGGCCAGCTCGCGGGGTTTTGTGGACCCAGGGAGAGGGCACGGTAGGAGGTGGCGGCAGGCTCCTGTCCACCCGCCTTGTCTGCCCCAGGGCACTGCTCCCGCAGCCTGAGTGGCAGGTGTCCCAGGGGTGACGTAAGGGAACAGGGTCCCCATCCCAGGAGGGGCTGGTGGAGGGGAGCTGCCCTCAGCCAGAGCTCAGCAGACCCTGCCCCGTGCCAGGTGGGGCTCAGCGCCTCTCGGAAAGACCGTCTGGTGTTTGGCTTCTGGCCCTGGGACCCCTTGGTGGCAGGATGCCCTCCTGGCCACCCCAGGAAGCCCTTGCCCAGTGGCACAGGGGCCTGGGCATCCTCGGCTCTCGGGTCCCTCTTCCCCTGGCTTCCTTTTGGGGAAGAACGGGGCCAGGTCGTCCCTGACCAAGGCGGTGGCTTCCTCTTCTGAATGTGCCTGGGAGGGCCTGCGTGTGTCCGCAGAGGGACAGAGGAGGACACTGTGGCTTGTGAGGGTCAGGGGAGGTTGGGAAGCCGCGCGGTCCCAGGGAAGGAGGCGCCAGCCTAAGTGAACCTCTGGATGCTCTGGCCCAGGGTCCCGCCGGGGTGAAACAAGCCAGCTCCCCGAGGGGCTGGGGAGCAGGGGACGTGGGCTTTCCAGAAAGTCTGGCTCCAGACGTAATGGCTCACGTTCAAGAACAGGGAGGCCGAGTCCCCACAGAGCCCTCGGCAGCCACGGGGCGGGGGCCTGAGCCACAAAGCCTGTGGCCCTCGGTTCCACGTGACTAGGAGTCTCAGAGGTCCAGGCAGTGACCAGACACTCCAACCCCGGCAGGCAGGAGCCTCTGGGCGGATTTGGGATCCACCGTGAGCAGGGAGGGCACAGGCTTTGGTCCATCCTCAGCAGTTTGGGGATGAGCTGGGTGCATGCAGGCCGCGTGCACGCCTTCTCGGGAACTCCGGGGGACCTGGGGTCTGGTCCTGGTGTGGGTGGCCAAGGCACGTGAAGGCAGTGCCAGCTGCCCGTCACCAGTGCGCCGGCCCAGATGCAGTCCTCCACGGCCCCCTCCTCCAACACTGCCCTCCTGTGCGGGGTCCCCGGTTCCAAACACCTGGCTCCGTTCAGAGCGCAGACCCCGAGGCTCCCTTCTGCCATCTTTTGGGGCATGAAAATCTCGAGCCACAAAATCGTGGTGAAGCAGCCCAGGCACCAGCCTGGGAGGGTGAGGCGAGTGGACAGAAGCCCCAGCCACAGAGTGAGTGGCGCAGGGCAGAGGAGGACAGCGTCCATGGAGAAAACCAGCGTGGGGAAGGGGAAGGCCAGGGTGGGCCGAGAGGGTGAGCAAGGAGTGAGTGGGTGGGTGGGTGGGTGGGCGGTCAGTGGATGAACAGGTGGACTCTGTGAATGACAGGTGTTGATGGAGTAGCCCCCGCTACTGGATCTCCCGGGGGAGAAGCCTGAGACCCCCCTTCTCCCGGCCCCACCTGGTCCCGACTTGCGCCCAGGACCTCTCTCCTGTCCAGGGATGCAGGCTGCCAGGGGGCCAGGCGTGGAGGTGCCCCCTGCGCGGGCCTTGCCTCCTTCCCTGCACACTTCTGCCGCTGCTGGCGTTTCCTGGCTTCCTGGTGGTCTGTCTTTCCCTCTGTGCCCTCGGTGGCACCTCCACACCGATGGCGCTTGACTCTGGTCTCGGTGTCTTTTCAGCCATGGAGAAGGTCCGTGTCCCAAGCTGGGCCTGGAGGATGCTCTGTGGCACCCAGGAGTGCTCCCCAGGTGTGCTCCCCAGGTGTGCTCCCCAGGTTCTCCCCTTTCGCCATCTGGGCCACCAGCTGTGTCATCGGGCATGTTTCATAATTAATGACGAATCTGTCAAGGTATTTTAGGAACGTGGCTCCAGTTGGCCTTTGAGTCAGGTGGTTTTCTCTGAATTTGGGCGGCACAAGTAAGATCTGCTAAAGTGGCCACCTTTCCCCCGTGTTGGCTGCAAGCCCACAAGTGACACGGTCGGTGGGTGTTCAGCTGCTTGTCACCCTTCCCCTGGTGACCAACCTAAGCCCTAGGCATTGCAGAAACCTTAGAAAACTATACAACAGAAAGAGGAGCCGTTCAAAATCATTTTTTCTCAAATAGTAGTCCCCGGAGAACGGCGGCCTCTGACCACGTGTGGCTCTGAGCCCTGGTGGTCTGAGCCGTGACCTGCGAGGTGAGAGTCAACGCAGGATCCAGAGCCCGGGAGACGAGGAGCGGAGCAGCCTGTTCTCGGCTGTGGCACGGAGGACGCGGCAAACGCTCCTTTCCCGTAACAGGTTGTGTCAGGGCGCGATCTCTTGACCTGTGGTTCTACGCAGGATGAAGGGCCGTGGACTCTGGAAGCTGCCGGGGCCGGCCTTGCTGTTGGCCCAGCTGCTCCGCGGGGCCCACAACTTGCTCCTTAGAGCGCAGGCGTGCGCCAGCAGGAGGGCGAACCTGGGGGCTCTGGTTCTGACCCCGTCTTGGCTCCTGGACGTGGTGGGGCAGCTCGGGGCTCATTGTCCTGTTCGCTTCCTCCACACCCATGGGGCCACCAACACAGTGCCCCCTGAGAGCAGCCTGGCTGCAGGACAGAGACCCCCAGACCTGGCAGGGCCCCCTGAGACCACAGAGGCTCATGGCCAAGCAACAGGGACGTGAATGTGCGTGTGATGGAAAGACCCTGCGTGGCCCCGCGGTCACCTGGGGGTCTAGTCTCACTCCCCAGAGAGTTCCAGGATGCCCTGGGGTACAAGCCTGCCAGTCCCACCAGGGGCTGTGCTTCACTTGACCTTTGCCGGGGAGGCCGACGAGGTCACGTGTCGGGGAGATTTCGCTCTGGAGTGAGACTGGCAAGGTGGCACCTGTGGTGTTGGCCGTGGAGATGGTCTTTAGGGAAGCTGAGGGCTTCCTGGCCACCTGCCCAAGAGGCAGAGCAGGGCAGGGACACTCGGCCCCCGGAGGGAGCAGGGAGGTGGCGTGGGTGACAGCGGCTCTCGCGGGTTCACATGCTCTCGACCGTGCCGAGTCCTGAGCCCTGTCCCAGCTCACGGCCTTGAGCCCGGGGCATCCTCAGCCCCTGGAGGGCCAGGGCCATGCCCTTGCAGCGAGCAGTCCTCAGCCAGGGCGGGCAGGCTCAGCGGCAGGTAGGCACGGCCTCTCCAGGGAGGTGCCAACCCAGAGGCGGGAGACCCTGGCTCTCCTGGAGGGAGTGGTGGAGGGGACGGCAGGCGAATGGCAGGGTTCTATTCTCCCAAGTCCTGGGGACAGTTCCAGGGGGCCGTAGTGTGAGAAAGGCGGGTGGCTTCCCCTGCTGCAGGCAGAGGAGGTGACGCTGAGGACGCTCGAACCTCTCATCCCTCCTCCACGGGAAGGCCCCAGAGGGCCACACGTGTGGCTGTCCCCCAGGCCGTGCTCACCGCCTCGCGACTGTTAGTTAATATTTGCAAAGAGCTTAGCACAGCGCTGGCTGAGGATCCTCTCTCTTCAGCTGCTTGTGAAGTAAATAAACAAACAGAAAAGTACCCGGGCCAAGGCTGGGAAGGGGCTAAGAGTCAGAAACGAAGCAGAAAGATGGCCGGGGCAGATGGCACCAGGTGCCCGCTGGAGCCAGGACCGGGGCTGGCGGAGCCGGGGGCAGTGGGCCTGAGTCCCACCGAGGCTCCCTGAGGGGGAGGGGCCCTGCTGGACTCCCACCTGCCCTGCGCGTGTCCCTAAAGCTCGAGGAACCTCAGGGAGCGGCCTTGGCCTACGGGAGCCCACGGAGACTGCGGAGGAAGCTGCCCCTCCCAGGCAGACGGGACTGGCGCCTTTGGCTGTGTTCCAGGGCTGGGCTGGGGAGGCCCACGGAGCCTCCCGTCCAGCTGCAGCTGGGCAGCCTCTGCTCTGACTCACGCGGGGAAGGAAAGGAGAGTGGCCCAGCGTCCGGCCGCTGAGTCTCAGGGCCGACTCCAGGCCCCCGGGGGATCATCTCCACCTAGGTCGCTTTCAGCCCCTTGTGTCATCCACCTGTTGGCACGGCTCCCTCCTGCATGGGATGCCACCAGCAGGAGGGCGTGGGAGCGGAAGGCCGCTGGCGCTCCCTCCGGCCCTGAGTCATGGGCAGCTCCCTCCTCCCGAGCTGCGGTCCCAGCCCTCCGGCTGCTGAGCCCCTCTGAGGACAGGTCTGTGCAGGAGCTGCCCCCTGCAGAGGCGGCAGCCAGGCTCCCCACGTCTGCCCCAGCCTCCACGGCCCCGGGGCAGCCTAAGGTCTTGCCCACAGCCAGGAGATCTGCTGGAGCAGCAGGCCTCAGCTGGGGCGGTGCCGCCGGGAACATTCGACAATGTCTGGGGTCCTTCCTCACCCTGGGGCTGGGGGGTAGGTCCTGCTGGCATCTAGTGTGGGGGCGGTGGCCCTGGATGCCCTCCACTGGCCGCCCCCAGGGTCAGAGCTGCCGAGGCCACAGCACCACAGTCCATCTCCACTGGCACTTCCCTGATCTGGGGCTCGCCATGGCCAGGGCCTGACAGGCCTTCACATGCCACTGTACCCAAGAAGACACGGCAGCCAGCCGCGGCCTCGTGATGGGGCCCCAGGAGCTGTTCTTGCTGAGGTCCGTGGCCTTCCCCACAGCCCTGCACCCCGCAGACACAGGGTCCTTCCAGCTCGATTTCTCCAGCCTCCCCGAGTCGCTGAGGCCGGGAGCGCTCAGCTGTGAGCCTGGGCAGGGTGGACAGGGCAGAGGAGGGCTCCCCCCTCCAGGTCCCGACCAACGAGGGCTCTCTGGGGCGGCTCTGTCAGTCTCGGCTCCTGCCTTCCGTGTCACTTCCCGCCTGCCCCACAAGGGCTATTAAAATGCCAGCAAAGACAGGTGTCATTTGGTGCATGGAACCAAATGCCACCAAAGGGCAACATGGCGAACCGGTGGAGTGTGAGAGCCAGAGCGTCCCTTAGGTAAATGCACCCTTATGACAAATCAGACTGTGGTTTTTTTAACAAGTTGGTGAGCGTCCCTTTGGATTTGGGTGGTGGAATACCTGGGTCTGGAAGCAGAGAAGGCAGCGGGCCCACCGCAGGCAGCCAGCGGCCAGAGGGGGGAGAAACCCAGCAAGCTGCAGGCAGCCCCTCCCGAGACCCAGCTCCGAACAGAAGGGGCCCCAGAAACCACCACAAGCAGAGGCGCCGGACGTGGAGGGATTCTCCTCTCCCTTCCTGATTTGGGAGCTATTCTTTGACCTTTTATTGGTCCCCAAGAATCCAGGCCAGGGTCACAGGTGGCCTGGGGTCAGAACTGGTTCTTTCTGGCCTTGCCAGGCAGAGGCCACCGCATTTCCTCTGCATTTGCTGGAGATCACCACCCTGCCCACCTGGGGGCGAGGAAGTGAGGGCAGGGAGAGGATGGGGAAGGGACAGGCTGGAGGCGGACAGGTATGGTCCAGCGAGCAGATGTGGGACGGTGGCAACAAGAGGCCACGGCTTCCTGGCCCGGGGCACAGGCTGGGGAGGGGCAGCCGTGCCCGAGGGACTGGCTCCCAGCTGGCAGCCCCCATGAGGGCCACTCTGGCCCCAGAGTCCTCCCAGGGCCAGCAGTCCAGGGTCACTTTCAAAACACTGGGGCAACGAATGCAGCCAGGGCTGGCCAGGTGCACACATATACAAAATAGATACTGCACACTCACACTCACACTCGTTGTTTGGGTTTGCAGTGTGGGGACAGAACCCAGACCTCGCACAGGCTAGACAAGCAATGACCACTGCGTGCCACCCCCAGCTCTGGCCAATTGTATTTTTATTCCTTTTTCAAAAATGACTCCTCATAGATTTCTGAGTTTTTTTTCACCTGAACATAAGAGAACAACAGTCCAGTAGAGTTATACAGTATTGGTTGTTCCCCAACCAGGGGAGGAGGACGCAGTTATATAATCCTGTGTGTGTGTGTGTGTGTGTGTGTGTGTGTGTGTGTGTGAGAGAGAGAGAGAGAGAGAGAGAGAGAGAGAGAGAGAGAGATTCTCTCTTGCCCTGAAAACCTGAACTCCACAGGCCAGTCTCCCTGGCATGGCCAGGGCCACAGAGGACTGCTTCCCATAGGATCTGGCCAGCTCGGGGGCACTCTCCAAACCGGTTGTCCTGCTGTCCAAGATGCAGGCAAAGGGCCCTTCAGGGCCATGCGGCACCCTGGCCTGGCCAGCCTGAGGACCAAGAGGCCTTCTTGCGCCTCTCCAAGTGCAAGGAATTTACAAACTGGGTCTGAACCAGAGCCTCAGAGACAGGAGCAGGTAGTTGGTGATGTGGTGACAGCTGTAGCAGCACCCGCCATGGAAAGCAGGCTGCGGGGCTGCAGCTGGTGCTCATGTGGGGGGCAGGAAGCTCCTGCAAGGCCAGACCCCACCCATCGCCCCACCCCACCCCATCCACCTAGATTCTACCCTGGGAACCTTGGCCCGAGCACTCAAGGCCTTGGAAGGCAACTTTACAATCACTTCTGGGGGCCACACACATTCCTTTTGGCCACTCGACAAGCACTGGTTGACCGTGAGCTGTAGGAGGACAAGATGGAGTCAGGAAGAACTGCAGGCCTGGAGCAGGTGGCTTCTCTGGGTAGTGAGACGGCGAGGCCTGACCGCTGTGGGGGGACGACAGCCCACTGGAGGCGATGTCTGAGCACACCAAGCCAGTGTGGGCCTGGGCTCCGATGGAGCCTGGCTGCTGTGGGTGGGTCTGCTCCTCCGGGTGCAGGGAGGGAGGCTGGGACACCTGCAGGGCCGGCTGGGTCCCCGGTGAGAGAGGCCCAAGCCACGGTCTCTTCCTCAGGGAGGCAGTAGAGCCCCACGCAAGCAGCCCTGGCGGCCCCAGAGGGTCAGGGTCCCCTCCCTGGCCTGCGTGCGCAAGTCCCCTCTGCAGTGGGGGTGGCACTCTGCCTTAGCAGACTGGGTTTGATGAGAAGGTGACACTTTCAAGTTATGGAAGGGACCGCATGAGCCTGGTCTCAGAATACTAAGAGCTCCATCAGGAGTCCCAGGTACTGCTGGGGGAGGGGGCAGGGGTCCCAGGTACTGCTGGGGATAGGGGTCCCAGGTACTGCTGGAGGCGGGGGCAGGGGTCCCAGGTCCTGCTGGGGACAGGGGGCAGGGGGCACAGGTACTGCAGTGGACAGGGGGCAGGGGGCACAGGTACTGCAGTGGACAGGGGACAGGGGTCACAGGTACCACTGGGGCAGAGAGGATGGTGGTGGGAAGAAACCAGTGAAGGTGTGTGTGGTGGAGGTGAAAAGCCACAGCTGGCAGGCGTTTGCCAGGGGTGGAGAGCAAGGGGCAGGGAGGTGTTCCTGGCCTCAGTCTCAGAACTGTCTCCCCTGCCCAGCGTTTGCAGCTGGCCCACGCGGGGACTTACATTTAAGGTAGGGCTACAGAAGTTCCCCGCTGGTCTGAAAACCCTTTCCACCCTCAAAAAAAGAAAAAAGAAAAGAAAATCCAAAGGGGCACTTACCCCGGATAAAAATAAAACTTGGAGGGGCCCGCAGGAATGGAATACCTTCTTCCTGTGTTTAAATTTCTACGGAAAATCTGACCCGCGTGGCCGCCGCCCCTGCCCTGAGCGGGCGGAGTGCGCTTATATCTTTAAGGAAAGGAGTCAGGCGGGCGTCCAAGTTCCCGACC